GTGTATAATATATAGATAAAAAAAGAATAGTAGGAACTAGAGATTGATATAACAGTCTCTCCTATATAGAGTGTATAATATGTAGGTATTAGAATAGTAGGAACTACAGGTTGATATAACAGTCTCTCCTGTACAGAGTGTATAATATGTAGGTATTAGAATAGTGGGAACTACAGGTTGATATAACAGTCTCTCCTGTACAGAGTGTATAATATGTAGGTATTATAATAGTAGGAAAACATATAGTCGAAAATATAATAGGTCAGTATTAGATAATGTGTTGAATAACTGATCAGTTCTATTTTGATGGAAAATTACATCTTATACCCGATTATCTTTAGGTAGGCATTCTCTGCCTATTCAATGACTTATCACTATTGAGATTCAATACTCGGGTTATAAGTTTGCCATACTTATTGTTCTTTACAATACAATAAAATGGCTAAAGTTGAGATTATTGTATTGAAATAGCTTTTACTCACCACAAATTCTTATTTATTACTAATGCTACATTGGATAACATGACCAGTATAATTTGTATGTTTTTTCCACTGGATAACATGACCAGTATAATTTGTATGTTTTTTTCCCACTGGATAACATGACCAGTATAATTTACATGTTTTTTTACCACCGAATAACATGACCAGTGTAATTTGTATGTTTTTTACCACTGGATTACATGACCAGTATAATTTGTATGTTTTTTCCCACAGGATAACATGACCAGTATAATTTACATGTTTTTTCCCACCGAATAACAAGACCAGTATAATTTGTATGTTTTTTCCCATTGGATAACATGACCAGTATAATTTGTATGTTTTTTCCCACTGGATAACATGACCAGTATAATTTGTATGTTTTTTCCTACAGGATAACATGACCAGTATAATTTACATGTTTTTTCCCACCGAATAACATGACCAGTATAATTTGTATGTTTTTTCCCATGGGATAACATGACCAGTATAATTTGTATGTTTTTTCCCACTGGATAACATGACCAGTATAATTTGTATGTTTTTTCCACTGGATAACATGACCAGTATAATTTGTATGTTTTTTCCCACTGGATAACATGACCAGTATAATTTACATGTTTTTTTACCACCGAATAACATGACCAGTATAATTTGTATGTTTTTTACCACTGGATTACATGACCAGTATAATTTGTATGTTTTTTCCCACAGGATAACATGACCAGTATAATTTACATGTTTTTTCCCACCGAATAACAAGACCAGTATAATTTGTATGTTTTTTCCCATTGGATAACATGACCAGTATAATTTGTATGTTTTTTCCACCGGATAACATGACCAGTATAATTTGTATGTTTTTCCCACTGGATAACATGATCAATATAATTTGTATGTTTTTTCCCACTGGATAACATGACCAGTATAATTTACATGTTCAGTTAGTGAAGAGTTTTCACTTTTGTTTTTAATTTATTTTTAATTTTCTTCTATTTTGCCCAATGTATACACTACCACATTCACATTAAATTTTATAAATACCATTTTCTCTATGACTAATGTTATTCAATGGGCTATAAACGGAAATGAGATTCTGTTTTTTAATTTTTAAAAAAATTAACATGACAAACATGGAACATATAGTAAAAACGACATTTCATTTTGATCTGTTTTATCAAACGTTTATTTTAGTTTACTTTTTGAACATAATTTGTTATTTTAAAAAATGTTGCCACAGCTATATCAACAATACGAGGAGAGAAACCTCTGTCTAACGTTACATGTTTGATTAACAACAGTTAATTGTTTAATTATTCTGGATAAGAACATAGCATAAAGACCTGTAACCATAAGAGTGTAAAGTGATGTGGCGGCATGATAACAGAGAAAGATTTATGATAGACCGTAGTTTCTAACTAATTTTTGTTTTTCTTAACTAATACATCCAAAATCGGTAAACTATTATTTTCTTCAACGTCATAAGTAAATTCAATAGCTTGTTTAAGACTATTCAAGTAATTAGCAAAAACTAGAAAGTTTTCTTTCCATGTCGCCACATTATGAAAGTGTTATCGATATACCTAACCCATATTTCTGGCTTAAGTTTAGCATTCTGTAAAGCATCAGTTTTAAACCTAACCATGAATAGATCACACAGGGAGGGAGATAATGGAGAACCCATATTTTCAGCACATCATCCTATATTGCCCTATTATGCTTTGAGTAAAAAATAAAATAACGTTTCAACTAGATTTTTTTCTGCTATGTGTTGCGTGTCATACAACGTAGAAATTAAATCTGTAAAGCTGGAAACAAGTCATCTGCAAAATTATGGCCTCAGACACTAGTAACGTCACATAACCAAAATTATGGCCTCAGACACCAGTAACATTACATAACCAAAGACGATTACTTGTCAACACCTAGAAAAGCAAGGCCAAATAATGATTAAAAAAATGTTCATTTTAACCCTTTTAACGGGATCTGGAGACATTTATCTCTTGAAAATTCCATTTAAGTTAACTGTATTTAATTTACATTAGAAAATACTGACGTAATAAAGAAATGAAACTCTTTCTACAATTTCAGTTTATTAGGTATCACACATGGCCACCGAGACTCGCTTCGTAAAGTCTTCCCCACAGAATTGTTGTGGAAACTTGTAAGACCCCCAAAACAATTTATTTGTTTATAGAACGTGATGTTACAAAATGTAAATTCAAATCTATCATATTCGCGCATTAAAAGCTCAACCAATAATCCTCATCAACACCCTTTTACGATCCAGAAGGTGAGAAAAAGACATAATTTAAAAGCAAAACTTCATGTCTGGAACATTTCCCCAAAACTTTCTGTTAGGTGTAAATGTAGAAGTACTGCCTGAGTTACGATCTATATATATATATACATAGCCTATGATCTTTGTTTACTTCGTTCGACTTGATTTTACTTGGACATCCATAGTTTTATGTATTTTATTTACTTCAGTCTGATACTTCCTAATTCTTATTCATAAACCGTTATTTTTAGTCTGCTTCAGTAGTAGTACAACCCTATGGATCAGTGAATGATAAATACATAGCTGTGAATTCAGCTCGCCTTTCTTTGAAACTATGAACTGTATAAATCATATCATATTAACGAACACCCTGTGCATATAAATATCATATTATACTTCTTTCTCTAATGTAGTTGAAGAAGACAAATTTCCTTCAATATCTGTAAAATCATATTCTAATATAACTTCTAGAATCATTCATGACGCTAAAAATCGTGTTTCGATACCTATGGTGGGCACAGCACAGATAGCTCATTGTGTACCTTTTCTCTTAACAACAAACAAAACAAAGAATAATTCAAGTAGATTTGTCCAAAACCTGCTTTAATAACCGTTTCTATGCAACTTACGTGATTTATGGGTGCTATACCTGCTTTTATAACCGTTTCTATGCAACCTACGTGATTTATGGGTGCTATACCTGCTTTTATAACCGTTTCTATGCAACCTACGTGATTTATGGGTGCTATACCTGCTTTTATAACCGTTTCTATGCACCCTACGTGATTTGTGGGTGCTATACCCGCTTTTATAACCGTTTCTATGCACCCTACGTGATTTATGGGTGGGATATTTATGCGTACGGTCTATTATTATGAACTAGTGAAAATACCCGTCTTCGCTCGGGTTATTAGGTTGATTTATTCTAGATCACCATGTCAGTGTGTGTGTATTGTGAATCAATTTTAGCATAAAAGTATAACCTATATACTTTTGTTACTCCTTTAAGGGATGTGGCTTGTTTATAAAGGTAACCTTCCCTCTGACTTGTCCTCCGATTTTAAACTTAAATAATAAAAACCAAATCTCTTTAATTAACGGAGCCTCTAAATTAAAAAAACAACAATTTGTTTTCCAGTTTTGTAGTTTATATATTTCATTTTATACTTTCAGCATAGCCTCTTTAACAACAATATTGGGTTATACTTTTATTGCTAAGCAACATGACATAATAACCATTATTGAGATGCATTGTTACCAAAATGCACTGGCTTTTCTATATATTAGAAGTTGTTATATAAGAAACCATTTCTTTTCTATGTGGTTTCTTTTGCTAGCTTACCTCATTAAAAAGATGCGCATGCACGCACGCATGTGGATAAGTAACAATACACAGGTATGCACCCTCAGGGCCCACTTAGTATGTGTGCAAAATTTCAGTTTTCTGTTTTTTTCATCTTGGAGTTATGACGGTCGCACACACAGACACGCCCTTTTATTATTATAGATTACTTTTACAAGTTAATAAAGAGCTGAAAGTATTCTAAAGTTTCCGAAAAAAGTTAAAATTGATCTATTAAAAGCGACTGAGGTATCTTAATGTCCTATGGTTATTCAAAATTACTCATTTTTAGCGAACATGAATAGCCCTTTCAATTTTCTGTCATACTACAATAAAGTTTGTATTTTTATCTGCTCACTTTAGCAATTTAGTGGTTTACGAATTACTAGCTGTTTCTTTCTTGAACTATACATATTTCACAAACTGAGAAAAAACTGGTCCCTCACTTTCTATTGACCATTAATCGACAAATTTTACGTTATTATTTTTTTAGTAGGTTAAACGAATTGTCTCTTAAATATAAAATAAAACTGCCTTGGGATAAATACTGTCTCAGGTGTGGCCATGTTCTAGTGTGTCCGGACTGTGAATCCGACGGTTTATGGTAAGCTTCCCTTTGGGGTCGTGAGCGTGCAATAAGTATGGCAATCAAGTTACACTAATTACTCAGATAAAAGAACTCTAGCGGTGAGAGCCAGCAGTTGAAAATTAAAGAGAGTTTTGCATAAAAGCCCTTTATATAGCTTTAGGGGAAGCTACTGTACGAAGACGCAACATATCCATTACACCAGTGTAAGTCAATTAAAGGAATGAGTTAGAAATTAATCTTAAAATAGAACACTAGTAATTGATTATAAGGGTTAAATGTTTTTTGTTTTTTTTAACTTTCATCCAGGTTATTCAGCACGTGACCTGCGGACGTCGACTTGTTAAACCTGATGCCTGTCCTCAAGATATTTACCATCTTATGCAGGGATGTTGGGCTCATGAACCGGAAAATCGAACCTTGATGAAAACAATTTACAAACATCTTTCTGTTATGATGAGAAATGAGCCTGAATACTTGGAAGTTATCGAGTAAACGTTACTTTTCCCACACTTAAACAAACTGGTAGGCATGATTTCTGCATGTGCTTTTCAAGTGCAGTTTATATATATATACACGCAAGATATAAGGATCAAGAAGAAAATGTCAACATTCTGAACAAGATACGCGGTATTAGTGAGGTATTTACAAAAAAGTAAAGACTGGGATACGACAACAAACTAGTTCGTTTCTGTGTGGGAAACGTCGGAATTATCACAGATTAAACGATTGCTTTTGCAAGATCACTGAACAACAGTTGATAACATAAGTTGCACCAAGTAGTATCTTACTGAAAAAATAGAAGAAATTGGATTTTTCGACACCAGTTTCGTGTCAAAAGGGGTCAAGATAAATAAAATGGAGGACCACTACATTTGTCTTGAGATGGTGTTGTTATGTATAAAAACGATTAGTATAGAAAGCTGTTTTAGCATATTTGCTCACTCCTACTTAGAATAATTTTACATGATTGTAATTGAATATTTTGATTTGTTCACTGTTTCCTTCTGAAAAAGGATCTCCCCCCCCCCCCGAAAAAAATATTTCAAAAATTGGCGGCATTTTATCATCATTTACCATAATACTAAATCCACAGTTATAAGTTTCGAACCAGTTTTTAACAGATGCAACATAGTCATACAGTAGTCCTTAGTATATCACAATATATAAGCAATACAGATTGTAAAATGTCAAAGGTCAAGAAATATATGTGAACATAACGAGGAAAAACGATATATTACTGTGAATATGACCTTAAATAGTTCAAATCCGCATTTTATAAATAGCTTTGTTTTATCATTTGTACATGTTCTACTGTGCATGAAATGAATTTAATTTCGTATAGGGATATGTGTAAGATCACTTTATTACAGAGGCGTCGCTACGCCCTGGTACACGGGGACCATGCCCCGATTCTATTTGACAGTGTCTCAAATCCCCAGTTGGTGTCTCGAAAAAATCAGAACATAAAATCATGATCGATATCTTATTGAAATGACGAAAATTTCCGCGCCTAAGAGTCCGAACCTCATATCTTTTAAATGCCTAGCGACGACTCTGCTTTATTATCTCGCTTATTTTGGCCTATTTTCATATATATATATATATTTATTTATCTATGTTTTCACTTTTAAACTAAATAAGTATTTAGTTTATATATATATATATATTATTAATGATTTTTTTATATCTTCCCATAAGCGAACTCAAAAGATAAAAGTGTTTTATTCTATGTATAATCATGAAAAAAAAATCCATAAAAACTAACACAAATCTAATGATTGCCAAAAGAGATCAAGGCAAGCGCGATAACAAGGTGGCCATTCAGAATAACATTTATGTCTCTAAAGGTATTTCAAGATAAAACTAATTTCCTTTCATTTATTATAGAACATGTAACAAGAATAAAATAAGGCCACATACATGAAAAAATCTTCTTAAATATTTCCTTTCATTTATTATAGAAAATGTAACAAGAATAAAACAAGGCCATATACATGAAAAAATCTTAAATATTTCCTTTCATTTATTATAGGACATGTAACAAGAATAAAATAAGGCCACCGGCCTTATTTTATTCTTGTTACATTTTCTATAATAAATGAAAGGAAATATTTAAGAAGATTTTTTTCATGTATCATACACGAAAAACTTCTTGAATATTTCCTTTCATTTATTATAGGACATGTAACAAGACAAAAATAAAGCCACATACATGAAAAAATCTTCTTAAATATTTCCTTTCATTTATTATAGAAAATGTAACAAGACAAAAATAAAGCCACATACATGAAAAAAATCTTCTTAAATATTTCCTTTCATTTATTATAGAACATGTAACAAGAATAAAATAAGGCCATATACATGAAAACACTTCCTAAATTGTTCAAATTCACCTCTTATATTATATTCGCAGAACTATATCGTTTTGTCTCATTATAATCACAAAAGTTTCTTGGCCTTTCACCCTTGTATTTCAACCTCTCATCATTTTGTATTGCTTAAATATTATGATATTTCATGCAGTACGTTATAAAGATGCTCTTGTGTTAAAAATTAGTTCAAGCACTGAAAACTGTGGATTTAGCAATATGATAAATGATGAGGGAAATATGTCATTTTTTACTTTTTTAAATAGTAGATCCTATTTATTTCAGAAATACTACCCTAAAAAGTCCACTTAAAATCAAATCAAAATCTACGTGAAATTCTTTCATAGATTAGAGCGGTCATGAATGTTAAAGTAACTTTTCATAATAACCTTAGTTGCATATGCAAGAATCTTTATTGTACACTTAAGTGCTATCTCCAGACAAAAATATAAATGTTAGCCATTTTGTTTTTGCTGATCCCCACTGACCTAAACTTGGTGTCAAAAAATTCACTTTTTTCTATGTATTTCAATGCTAACTCTGATATTGACCTTTGGCCACTGATCTTGGCATTCCTCTTTCATTATTATTGTATCCTAAGAAACAATGGCAGACAGAATGGTTTATTTACTTCAGAATTAGATTAATTACAACGTTTTTGGTGAAAATGTATATCTTAATTTTATATTAGAATTAAAGCAATGGATATTTATATACGGCTGTTTCAATGTGCGCGAGAACGTGACTTAAAAACTACGTACTATATTATACAAACATTATTGCTGTCGTACATCAAAACTGAGATTAAAACATTCATGTTTCAAAAAGAATAATAAAAACTGTCTTATATTATGTATACACGAGAACTGAAAACACAAAGTGATTGATAAGTTAAATAAACTTTAGAAACTGACTTTTCTTTCTACAGAGGAAGTATACAAGTCGAAGACTGGAGACAGGATGTTAATGATTTAGCGCATTTTAATCTGTGGTTATGGTATGGTCTATATCTTCCATCAATAGAGAGCGTAGAACACTTAAAAAGAGAGACAAGAAAGATAACATTGAGACAAGGTTGTTCTCATAAAAGATAAATTTGGAAATATGACATCGATCCTCAATAAATGTGTCTAACAAAAACAAATAACTTACGTCGGGCCAAACATTAAATTAAAAGTTAATGCTAATAAAGTACACATTTGTAACAAATAGTTTAAATTGTGAAAGATTTAAACATTTTTGAAACTCCTCACGATAACTGTTTGCATCCTACTGCAAGACTTACCCGTTTAATAATGAATCGGAAAGTATTAACCCAAATAAAATTTCTGACATACGAAACATAACTGAGTGCTACCGCAAATGGTGTAAGTACAAACTATAGATTAGAATACCATACAGTAAATGCAATGACGGTGATAGATCCTCAAATGATAAGTTATTAGATCACGTGCAGTTCTTAGCTAAACGGGAAAGTAATTAAACTATTAGAGACTCAGGTTTAGTTTGAAGATCGTTAATGCGTCACGTGCCATAAGCCGTAGCGCATTTAAACTTTTAAAACTATAGGTAGTGATATTAAATTGTTTTTCATTTGTCAAGGTCGCAGGTAGCTCCTGTAGTAAAGATCTGTATTTTGGAGCTGGCTCGAATCTGTGCCACATAAAATATTTCCGGCAATTTAAGCTGTGTGTATGTATTATAAGAGTGGCGTTAAAATATTTAGTGTCGATGCTGGACGGTAGGGGGCTGCCTTTCCTCTGGTCAGTAGTAGAAAATTAGGGACGGCGACAGATAGCCGTAAGTACTTTTGCCATAAATACAAAATACAAATTCGTTTATTAATGGGCTATTTCGAGTTCAGTGAAGTTAATACAGGGTTCAAACAAGTAGAACATCTCGTCAACCTTTAACGTTCTTACAAAAACATTTGTCCCCCGGTGGTAAGTCTTCGGATTTACAATACTAAAATCAGGAGTTCGATTCTCCTAGGTGGACACAACGGATAGTCCGATGTAGTTTTGCTATAACAACCCCACACACACAAAATAGTTACTCAAGTATAAGCGTGGGTGTTTGTTCAGAAAAGTATCGTTTTTTAGCGAAACGCTACACAAAGGTTATCTGCGCTGTATCCGTCACCGTATCTAACCCCTAATTTTCGTGTTCTAAATCACTAAGCTTGCCCCTGAGCCAACGAAGGACTTGTTGAGAAGTTAAAACCAGCTTAAGCGTCTTGCTTTACAAGTCTGGTGTCAGTGGTGTTAAGTAAGTTTCTTACTTGTCAATGTTGATTTTGATCACCACTATAGCTAGCATACTGCAATGCAGAGAAATAGCAGGATCCAACAGCTTATAGTAAGTGAATGTATAACCACTTTCCGTGTCAGTGGTGTTAAGTAAGTTTCTTACTTGTCAATGTTGATTTTGATCACCACTATAGCTAGCATACTGCAATGCAGAGAAATAGCAGGATCCAACAGCTTATAGTAAGTGACTGTATAACCACTTTCCGTGTCAGTGACTGGTTCTAACTTATCTAACATCCCGCGGTATTCTGTTAATGTTGTTTGTATGTATATATGTGTGTGTGTGTGTATTACAGTTTACAGAGTAACTCTAGGCGTAAACAATTATTTAGAAGTGTATCTATAGTTGTAATGTATATGTATAAAAAGATGAATAATATTTTTATTTGACTAAGATAAGTTATTCGTGTTAAAAAATGATAAAACACACACACACAGTAAAAGTTACGATTCATTTAGGGAAGAACCCTATTGAAACGGTCCTAAAAATATATTGCTACTATTAAGATTAAATATGAAAACAGAGGTATTTATCTTATCCTATAAAAGTTATTAAGGTTTTTGCTCAAAATCTTGATATGTTCCTGTCTTTACTTGGTACTAAAAATCATTCATGTACAAAGTTATAGTCTAAATGCTAGTCACATTATGTGGGTGAACTATGTGTTACTGACAAAATCTACGTAATAATATTCCCGATTCACATGTGTATGATTGTTGCATATGTTTGCACAGGTTGTTTTATGAATATTAAATTTTAAGGCTACAGTGTACAATCTTACGTATACTCTTCGTATTGTCATGAACCATAAAGATGATGGTATATATAACTGCAATATAATTATCAACTTGGTACGAGATGAAGATGTTATATAATAGGAATGTCCATACCTTTATTTGAAGGCATAAAACTGAATCAAGCTTTATTAACCATGGTATAATCAAAATGCAAATTAAATGGCTCGCTGTAACGAGGTATTTTAATGAGCAGGCTAACTCCACTAATGGTGTACTTCTTATACAAAATAGTTTTATGAAATAATTATAGTGAATACCAATCATACATAAGAGCCTATATTTTTATATGAATTATAGAGGGGCGAGTGACAAGGAAAATATTAGGAAGGAGTACACATTTTTTTATGATTTTTTATGTGTCTTTCCCAGAATTTATAAAACTCATATTAGAGTTGGTTTAATGTTTTTGTTTTATATTTTAAGAACATTGCTTTTGAAGTATACATTATGATTATT